ACACATGAACACAAAATAATTCATCTTTTTTTTCGTTTATTAAATTGAAATTGATAAGAAGCGCCCAATCCACTCAAACGTGAGCTGATTTTTTTTTTTTTTGGGGTAACGGTGCCAAGTTCTAGGGGAAGAGGAAAACAATTATGAACTTTGGAACTTTAATCAATGATTCAGCAGAATCCGGCAACAAATCCATACGTTAAACATAATTGCAGTGTAGATGGGGTAGAGGTGAAGGGGTGTTGTGGAAGCGAGGTTCAAAATAAATCGGTACCGTAGACAGAATTCCTCGTCTACTAAATATAGAGCCGAGAGCTTGACGTGGAAAGTGAAATGGCTCCTCAGTCTCCTCCGCATCCTGCACCAATCGATGTAAGAAGAAATATAAGTTTTTCTAGGACCAATATTTCAGTGGTCTCTAGAGTATATTACTTTAGGCTCAGCAGATATTGTGTCTTCCTGAGGATATTTTTATTTAATTCATTTTCATGACTCCAGAAAAAAGTTTAAATCAGAAACAATATAGAACCACATACGAGTTACATTGGAAATAAGTTCAGCCGTTTTGAACCTTCAAAATCCCCAAAAATCGTACGGATCTACTATCTGGGGGTTTCGAATTTTATATTAAACATTTTTATCCAATGAGAACTAAGCTTATTTTAAATCTGGAGGTAGATTTAATTCTCTGATTGAATGTTAAGTAGTTCACTATAAAATTCGTTCCAAATGTTCTTCTTACGCTTTTTTAGTACTCAAAATGCACGATTTGTTCAGTTTGACCAGCATTTTTTGATCAAACTTCATGCATCGTCCTAAATTTCCGGACTTTCAAGGTTTTATTTATTATTCAATTATGTGCTTTTTCGGAAAGAAAAGTAAGAAAATGTTTACCTTTGACGCCAAAAAGTCTTTAAATACTGTCATTTTGAAGTTTACAGAGGAGGATGTTAGTAAAACCATTGCACAATGGACCCACATCCAATTTTCCTGTCCAAAACTATTTCAACGTCTCTATATGTAAACCCTAGAGACAAATAGTGACCTCAACATCTATTTCTTTCACCCAATACCAACTTTAGTACTATTTAGTACTTTTCAAACAATTATAGTACGCATTTGCAAAACAACCTCCATATCTCCATTCTAGATACCAACAGAGATCTCAACATTAAATTTGAGAATTCCAGCCCTTTTCCCTCGCATAATACCAAATTTAGTACCATTTAGTACTTTATAATAGTACACTTTTCCAAAATCACCTCCAAATCTCAATACCAGATTCCAGGTAGAGACGTCAAGATTAAATTCGAGGCGTCCAACCCTATTTCCTCACCCAATATCAAATTTTGTACTATTTAGTACTTTTTGTACAATTATGGTACAAGTTTCCAAAAAACCTCCATATCTTAATCCCAGATATCAACAGGGATCTCAATCTCAAATTTTGCAATTCCAGCTCTATCCCAAATACCTTCAATATGAAATTTAGGGATTCCATTCTCCATCACTTCACCCAATATCCAATTTAGTACCACTTAGTACTTTTCGAACAACTATAGTACACATTTCTAAAATCAACTTCATATTTTAATCCCATATACCAAATATCAGGATTTCAGCTATATTTCTTCACCCAATATCAAATTTAGTACCTTTTAGTACTTTTCGTACAAATATAGGTCTCATTTCCAAACCACTGCCAAATCTCAAAACTAAATACCATCGGTAATCTAAATATCAAATTTCAGAAATTTATCTCTATCGCTTTACTCAATACCAAATATTGTACCATTTAGTACCTTTCGAACAATTACGGTACACATTTCCAAAACCACCTTCATATCTCAGTTCCAAATATCAATAGAGACCTCAATGTCCAGGCTGCACATGAACAGCGACACAAACATCAAATTTCAGATTTCAAGCACTATCTATTCACCCAATACTAAATTGTACATCCATATCAAATTTGCGGATTTCAGCTCTGTTCCTTCAACTAACACTATTTAGTACTTTTCGTGCCCTTGTAGTACACACCTACCACCTACAGGTAACCCAATTAAACATTAAAAAAAATCGGCTTCACCCGATCACCCTAAACCAAACTGTTCCTAATTTAGTACAGTTCGCACACTTAGCACATATTTCCAAGACCATCTTCATATATATAAACCTACTTTCCAACCTTGATTTTCATACCAAATTTAATTTTTTTACCCCTATCCATTCACATGATACCAAATGGTACCGTTTAAGAAGGTTAGTACCATTTTAGAGTATTTCCTAAATTTAAAGTTTGAATTTCTAATAAAACTTTGGTACATCCATCAGAGACTCTCATTCAAAATTTCCGAATTCTACCTCCATCGGTTCATCACAATTCCAATTTGTACCAAATTTTGTAACATTTAGCACACATAAGTACGAATTTCTAAAACTACCTACATACTCCAATCTTACACACCCACAGTAATCCCAATTTCAAATGAAATGAACAAACTGCAACCAACTTCAGACTGCTGTCATTTCTAAGCCACTCATCCGACAGCCGTTAAAATTATTCCAGTGACAGCTCATTATATTGTTTACAAGTGTACAAAAGCATTTTGTTGAGAATTTTCCAGAAAAAAAATTATTCGTGATGGAATTCAAGCGTGGTAATGTGATTTCTTTATATTTGACTGGAAAACCACAACTGGCTATTGTTAGAGCACTCCAGCATTTAAATGTGTATAAATCGTTTGTGTCTTGTACCATCGCTCGTTACCGTGATACTGGTAGCGTAGCCCGATGTCAAGGAAGTGAACGGAAGAAAACAGCAACATCAGCAGAAATGGTTCGAAAAGTAAACGGAGCGACTTGATCGAGACCCGCGTCGCAGTGGCCGAAAAATGGCTCGTGAGCTGAACATGTCGCAACATTCCATTCGGCAAATATTGAAAAATGAGTTCGGTGTAAAGCCATTGAAATTCCAAAAAGTGCAAGAACTTACACCGCAACAGAAAGAAAATAGACTCAAAAGAGCTAAAGAGTTGCTTCGCCGGGCCGAAAGTGGTGAACTGCCGAATTTGGTTTTCCCCGATGAGAAAACATTCGTATTCCAGCAGCAAATTGTCCAACAAACAAATTGATGGTGTTTACTTGCCAATGAGGTCAGCTGAAAATGTGCACCTTCGGTTGACCACCAGAATTCAAGCGCCGGCCATGGTGGTGGTGTGGGCCGCCATAACAGCCGATGGTCACTCCCCGCTCGTATTAATCGACCGTGGCATCAGAATAAATGCCGAATATTATCGCGAAAATATTCTGGAGTGTCTATTAAGGCCTTGGGCACGCAAACATTTTGGCCGCAGACCTTGGACATTCCAGCAGGACTCAGCACCATCGCACTCAGCACGCGCCACCCAAGAATGGTTACCAAAATGAGATTCACCTCCAAGCGAACAATGGCCACCAAAAACTCCGGATACCAATCCGTTAGACTATTATGTCTGGAGTATTTTGGAAAACAAGGTTGGCACTAAAAAATACCAAAGTGTCGATCACCTCAAGTAAGCGCTTCGCCAATTAACGCAGAGCAACATTCGGACAGCGTGTGACGGTTTCATTGTCCATTTTAAGGCCATAATTCGTGCCAAAGGTGACCAATTCGAACAAATCTAAACTTATTCTAAAATTTGATATTATTTCCGACATTTTTTGTTTTCATTCAATAAAATTAAAAAAATGCAAAAATTATGTCGTTTGACTTTGTTGCAGTTTTTTTGTCTCACCCTGTATATCCCAATTCTACATTCCGACAATAATCTTATTTCCAATTTTCAGGATACCAGCTTTAATGTTCCACCTTTATTCAAATTGTACCAAATTTAGTACATTTAGTACTCTTAATCACCAATTTTCATAATTACCTACATCATACGTTCCAATAGATATCTTATTTTCAAATGTCAGTATTTCGACACTACTAATTCTCCCAAAATTTAAATTGTACCAAATTTAGTACCATTTAGTATACATAAGTACGAATTTCCAAAATTCAAATTTCAGCACTATCGGTCCACCCAAATCGAAATTGTACTACTACTTAGTACTTTTCGTGCACCTTAGTACAAGTTTCGACAACTTCCTCCATATCCCAATCCTACACTTCGTCACATAAGTTCATTTAAAATTTCAGGATTCTAGTACTACATTTATTATTTATACAATAATTAGCATTTTTAAGTTTTCTATTTCAAAGGCATTCAAGACCAATTTTATATCTTTCGACAATGGCAACACTGTCACCACCGAAGAACCACTTGTTGCCATTAAAAAAACAGTAGCACTCATTGCTGCCGATGCTCTTTAAATGCATTGCAATGTAAACAAATCGTCGTCTGATGATGTCTCCGATGATGGTGGGTGGAGGGCTTAGAGTTGAAGGTACTACAGATGGTGTTAGTGTCCAAACACCAAGTAAAGAAGAATATTTTTCAGATATTATCAATTGATTAGAACATCTGACGAACAATAACTTGAGAATGACGTTGCTTTATGTATGTTTGAATGTACGTATGTATGCCAGTGCTAGACAAGATAATGAATTAAATACTACTTCCACACGAGATAGAGCTTTACAGCACCATCGTCCCCCCAACATTCATACTCGGACTAGGTTAGATTGGGTATTTTATTGCAATTCAGGCGAACACTTCAAGGGGGACAAACAAATATAGCAACAACATTATAAAAATAACTACAGATATGTATGTACGTAGGTATGTACATAGCAATTTATATGTGTGAAAAAAAAAATAAAATAAAATCAAAACGTCCGACCTCACTCTCTTCGGATTTTTTTTCTAATCAATCAATTGTTGTTGGTGGTTTTTATTCACTACAAACCATTTGTTGTTCTATTATTATATAGTTAGGTATTTTAGTGATATTATTTTACAATATTTTTTGGAGGCATTTTCTTTTGGGCTATAAGCCCCACTCTCACAGCATACCTTTAGAATTTCTTAATTAACAATTTATTTTTGTTTTGGCGTTTTTCCGTTTTTTTTTCGCTTTCTGCAAAGCCTTTGCGTTACTTGTGTTTCGTTTTATAGTTATTATTAATTAATTACTATTTTTATTTAATGTTTATTTGTGTTTCGTTTCTTTCGTTCACTACAACAAACACCAACAACAACACGTATGATGGTGCCCGGTTTGGTCACATTCAGTTTACGAGTTTCCAGATGAACAGCTGGCAGCCGTTCAATACGACTCTCTCGCGCTTACTAACTGACGAGCTGTGGCGGTTTGTTGGTTTTTCTTGTTTTTTTATTTTCGGGAGACCAACCAACCGACCGACAGACAGAAAGAAGACTATCTAAAAGCGCTCTGTTGCGATTGCCGATATTAGTTGTAGTATTTTCATAACATTGCGAATCGCGTTCAGTGGGGGGGGTTTAGTCAGTCACTCACTCAGAGCGTCAGAAGAGCGTAATTGTGTTTGTTGTTTGCCACAGCTATAGCTAAGCAGCTAGCGCTAGTAGCGACCTGTTGTGCATTGGAGAAGGCATTGACTGATTGAGTGACTCAGTTAGTCAGTCGATAGGTGCTGTAAGAGATAAGAAAACTCATGTGGCCATACATACATATGCCATAATAATTGCTTTTAAAGCTACTCTGAGCGAAACGTTCGCAATTGTCCAGAGAATTATGAAAATATGCATGTTGCCAGATCAATGGTATTTTTAAAGAATGGGCATGTTTCAAGCATTGTATTTAAAAGAATTAAATTGCATTTTTCGGAACTAAATGTTATTTATAAATAGCAGGATATCAAGGTAGAGTCCACCTTTGTATTGTACCTAGATTGATTGCTGTGGACTAACGTACCGTACCTCCTAATTACCCCATTCAGTCTTATTTTTTGATACGGTTACGGCTATATAACAAAACACATAAAGGTATAAAAGGCACGTGAATTAACGTTCCTCCTCTAATATACTCCCCTTAAAAAAAGTATTGATACTCTCTATATTGCCCTCGATTGCTTGCCAGCTTTACCAAAATGTCCATCGGCACAGTTCCTGTCGAGTACCCAACTTTTTTTAGAACATTTTTATATATTTTCAAATATAGATCACATTTAAATATTGGTAATATCCGTAAACTCCTTCTCCTTTCGGTACCTCCGCAAAATGTTACAAATTCTTATCGTTATTTTTACTGACCTAAATTGATATTTGGACCATATCGGCCTACTCCTTCTGATGCCTCTCCCGCAAAGGGTGGAACAATTGAATATATTTACTCTTATAAAATGTGGATTGAGTCACTGATATTCTTCAAACTTTGCACATTCCAGTATTTCTGTCAACACAGGATCATTCAAAATATTAAAAAATAATAATTTTTACATTCAGTGTCTCCAATTATATAAAAACTCGAAGTTATTCAAAGATATAAAAAAATTTAAAATTATACATAGAAAATGTTTCTATTTGGTATAAAAATATTGTTTTCAAAAATAACAGGAAAATTCAGTGAATTATAAAAGTAGAGCTAAAAGCTTTTATCGTAAGGTAACCTAAGTAGAAAAAGCAAGTTCCCCCCATTTCAACATTTTTAGAAATCATATACATAGATTTGCATCAATGTTGCTACAAAAATGAAAGTAACATAAAATTTCATTTTAGGCTGAACGTATCATATTCAGCCATGAATGTTTCCAGGTTTGTTCGGGATATCGTAGTATTTTGTTATTGCAAAATAGTTAGGCTTAATTCCATTATTGTAGTTTTTATAAAAAAAACAATCTTTATTTGTTAGTGGAAAAAGATGGTCATATTTATCAGGGGGTAATTCAGAAAATACTTGATATCGGTGTTTTTCTTTTTGACTATACCAAAAAATGGAACGATATAACCGATTTTTTAAACCAATGATTCTTGAAGTAATCCAAAGTTTTCGGCCTGAACAGCCGAATCTTTCTTGGGGGGTTTGATGTAAAAATCGAATACCATCAAATCCACTTGGAATTCCTCATACTCAGATTCGCAGAGTAAATTTTTAAGAAAATTTGAAGAAAACTCGGAAAATGTTCCAAATTCGTCGAAAATATAACAGTAAGGAAAGATCAAAAGGTGTATATGACTTCGGATTATATCAAAACAAATATTTATTGGAGCAATAGATATACCGGACCGAGTTTCAGCAATAGTAAAGTTCGGTTGAGTATGAAAAAATCTATTCAATTTGGGCCGATATTACATTTATGGTGAGCAATAATCATAAAATCATATAAAGATATATATCGGAGATATGTATAAAAATCTGAACCAATCTCGATAAAATTTGGCAGATGTTTTTTCGAGCAGTATCTGATGGCCCGTATCAATTATCATTGTTGTACAACAGGGTTCGTAAAATAAAACTCTAAACATACTGCAACAAAGTCAAAAGCCATAATTTTTATTTGTTTTTTTTATTTTTTTTAATTTTATTGAATGAAAGCAAAAAATGTCGGAAAAAACATCAAATTGTAGAATAAGTTTAGATTTGTTTGAATTGGTCAACTTTGGCTCGAATTATGGCCTTCGAACGTAAACGGAAAGGAAACCGTCACACGCTGCCCGAATGTTGCTCTGCGGTATGATCGACACTTTGGTATTTTTTAGTGCCAACCTTGGTTTCCAAAGAACTCCAGACACAATAGTCCAACGAATTGGTATCCGGAGATTTTTGTGCTCATTGTGCGCTGGGAATGAAGCAAGGAATCTCACTTTGTAACCATTCATGCACGCGCCACGCGTTCTGTGTGCGATGGTGCTGAGTCTTGTTTTAGTGTCCAAAGTCTGCGGCCAAAATGTTTGCGTGCCCAAAGCTTTAATACACCCTGTAGAATATTTTCGCGATAATATTCGGCATTTATTCTACTGCCATGGTCGATTAAAACGAGCGGAGAGCGACCATCGGCTGTTATGGCGGCCCACACCATCACCATGGCCGGCGCTTGAGTTCTGGTGGCCAACCGAAGGTGCACATTTTCAGCTGACCCCTTTGGCAAGTAAACAAGATCATTTTGTTTGTTTACAAACTGCTGGACAACGATTGTTTTCTCATCGGAGAAAACCAAATTCGGCGGTTCATCACATTCGGCCAAGCGAAGAAACTCTTTAGCTCTTTTGAGTCATGTTTTAATATTTGCCGAATGGAATATTGCGATATGTTCAGCTCACGAGTCATTATTCGTCGACGCGGGTTTCGATCAATGCTGGAGTGCTATAACGATAGCCACTTGTGGTTTCCAGCCAAATATAAAGAAATCACATTATCACTCTTGAATTCCATTGCGAATAACTTTTTCTGGAAAATTCTCACCAATATGCTTTCGTACGCTTGTAAACAATATAATGAGCTGTCACTGGAATAAATTTAAAAGCTGTCAGACGAGTGGCTTAGAAATGACAGCAGTCTGAAGTTGGTTGCAGTTTTTCATCTCACCCTGTATGTGGCACTTTCAGAATTTCTAGTAAAACTAACTACGTACCCTCTGCGAAACAAGTGGCCTAAAATAGTGACAACCGTATATTTCTTGCATTACCAGGCAAGCCAAGGTAATGAAAATATGTAAGATATAATATTTTATTTTTATCTTACCAAGTAATGAATAAAGGCGATAAGGAGAGTGTACTTTCGTTTAAAAAAACCTAAGGTCAATCTTTATGTTTTCAACGCCGGTAAATATGAATGTAAGAATGTACGAAGAGTAATCGACATTCATAGATTGTGTTCAAAAAAATATCCTCCTCCAGAGTATGGAGGGTATATTAAGTTTATCATTCCGTTTATAAAACCACGAATATTTAAGACCCCAGAAAGTATATATGTAGATGGGGTCAAACATTTGAATAATCATAACAGAAGTCAAAATATATATAAATAATCGAATATATGTATGTGTTGGCAAAACCGACTGATACTTTTTAATTTTTCTAGTAATTATTGAAAAAGACTGAGAATTGTTTATACCCTGCACCACACAGTGGTAAGGGTATTATGTCTTTGTGCATTTGTTTGTAACAAGGAGAAGGAAGCGAGATAGACCCATAATTACTTATGAGGATATTCATAGAATCACTTTCTGAGTCGATATATGCATGCCAGTCTGTCCGTCCGTCCGTCTCTCCAAATATAGCTCGCATATATATCTTCAACCGATTTCGGCTAATATCACCAAATTTCCAATATCAGTCCAAATGACCTGAATGATCGTTTCCGATATAGCTATAGCTCCCACATATATGTTTCATTCGATTTGTGGTTTTAAGTCCCTCACATGCGTAATATGCACTCCACAAAAATAATCTTTGGTTAATAATCTAGTTATCAGATGCAGATATAAAGGATCCCTCATTCTTGTACAAGCTATATATAAATGTTCATATGCTGAGGGTATGTATCTCTCGGTAAACCGATTGATAGTTTGGTTTTAAAAGAACAACATATTTTATAAGGTTTTTTGATCTTTTTTTGAATTTCAAATTCATAGATTTTGCGTCCGAAGTAGAGAACTACATAATGCCTGGTATCCCTACAAGTGGTGAATTATTCAAATTCTCACCAACATTCAACAATTGATCGCATTGGTTCGCAACCACACTATTCCCATTAGCTTGCACATAAACCTACTACTCTTCCCATCAAACCATGGCTGTAAAACAAAACTAAACAATTGATTTTAGGCAAACAGATGTGTCGTGTGTGTGTGTTTTTCTTTCGAACATATGTCCATTATTGTTAAATATACAATTTTCGAAATTTTGATTATTTATTAACCGCATATTTTTCTGACACTTGAATGAAACCCCACAGGAATACACACATACACACACACACACAAAAACCTCTGTTCGACAATATGTGTTAATTTACAAATTTCTGCATGAAATTCAATTCAATAACATTCAATAACCAAACCTATGGAGTAGCAGTAACAACTACAGCAGGCAGTCAGCCAGTACCAGAAGCAATGCCCACAACAACAGTAGCAACAACTACAACAACACAAAGAAAAAATCCCATTGGAGAAAATAGCATTTGACTGTGATGCTAAATTAGTTCTGTCAATCAAATTCATAAAAGACATCACACAACAACTGTGTAAATACAATGGAACGGAGTGGAGGGGAGGGAAGGGGGGAAGAGTCAGGGTGTGAGTGTGTGGATGTGTTTGCCAATGATGTACTACGTTCAAAACATACAACACAATACAACGCTAGGTGTGAACGTTTTGTGTGCGTTCGGGTATTGGGTTTATTGGGCAAAATATTATGTGACAAATATAAAAGCGACGACAAGTATGCTCAAGTAAATTCTGCAAACATTTCGGGCAAAGCAAGCGAAATACAGTGGAGGGTAAAAGTATACAGACCCCGGACGATTGATAGGGTACTCGAGAGCGTATACGTTATGGC